GTTGTTGAAAAGTAATGAATATCTATTGAATATTGGATTGTGGTAACGATATCCATATACACTATAGTGTATTTTTTACGAAAATTTCAAATACATACATAATAATAGTACACTGCCTAACATACCTGTACGTCACCGCCAAAGTAAACAACGGCCGTGGAATCCTCCGCATTCTCGCTGCCCGTCGGCCGTATCGGTGGACAATAGACAATATCATTTGCCCGATTTTGGAAACCAGTGACGGCAAATATACGAAATGGGCCAGCTGACGTGCTCGGTGTGCATAGACGATCCGTACTGCCGCCTAGCATTACCCCGAAGTTTGTGACCCTTTTTTGTAGTTTCAAAAAATGTTCAATGATGGCCTGTAAGAAACTGTAATTTAGAAATACATACTACGTACTTAGATTGAGAGATTTAATTTGTAGAAATTTCGTCGTTGCCGCACATTCAATTGACTTGCTTTGAGAGATAAGTAATGAGTAAAGTATTAAGACGCTTTGGGCACAGATCTTTAACCGTCAAGCATAACAAACCATAAGGCTTTATTCAAAAAGGCTCCTGTTTAGCTACTGTGAAGTAATTTTAACAATTTAAAAATTTTACACTGCAGATCTACAGTGTTCCACTAAAGCCCTTCTGGAAGTCCTTCTATAGGTAGCGAAAGCAAAGGGCCTTCAATAAGTGCCACTCCATACAAAAAAGCAAGAAGCAACGAATACAGAGTGGAAGGCCTATTAAGTCTAAAGAAGGCCTTTTGGAAGGCCTTTTAACTCCTGAAATTATCTACTGGGCTATTCCATTTGTTGTTGCAAATCGTTCATCTATAACAAACTGCCGAAATTGTGTGACTTTGGATCTGTTCCTCAGGTACTTGGAACACCTCCTGAATCTCCCAATCTTAATCCAATCAAGCATTTACGAGACGAAAGAAGCATCCCAGAAGGTAATTTAGGTAGGCCTTCTAAAGTGAAGCCATTCTAAGAGGGTAACCCAAGAAGGGCTGAAAAAAGTACTTCCTTGTATGCGTTCTGGAAGGGCTTATCTATTTACAATTTACGCGAATACATAAATTTATATTATTCTGCATTACAAATGAATTTCAATAAACATTTTAACTTGCTATAATACATGTTTGATATAAACCTTAAGCAAATACTTCAAAGATGTACATATGTATGCTTTTTATAAATTAAACAGCCAACTTTTAAAGAAGTCTTCCAAAAGGCCTTCTGAAGAACGTCCTTTAAAAGTCCTTCTGGAAGGCCCTCTATGGGTAGCAAAAGAAGAAGCCATACAATTTGTGTGCCACTCCATACAAAAAAGAAAGGAGAAAGGAATGTAAAGTGGAAGGCCTCTTGACTATCAGGAAGGCCTTCGGAAGGGCTTTTAACTCCTGAAAATATCTACTGGGATATTACGTCAAAAAAACAACTAAAAGTCCAGTGGGGGGAAAAAGTCATATAAAACTTAGTGCAGTTCACGCAAAATAGACTACAGGACGCAATAAAATAAAAAAGGATACTAAAATTAGTTTCAATGCCATCAAAAAGGCCAAATACTTTTGTCCAGCTGAGTTGCCTTAATATATTGAATTATTTTAAATTTAGTTTAAATAAATTAAATATGCTGATTTGTCCTTTGATATGAGACCTTTCTTTACATTTTTATAGAAAAATATATTTGTTGCATTTTCTTCCTGTTTTAAAAATTTTTGTCTCAGAATAGTTGCGTTCCAGATGCTTCACGATATTCACGAAATTCACGATTTGCAGGAACAGCTGTTTTCTCCATTAATAAACCTTATGGGAGGTGGTCACCTGGAACGACTTCCTGTAAAAACCTGCAAATCGTGAAGCATCTGGAACGCATCTTATGTTGTAATGCCGGCCACTTTTGTCCATGACTGTACCTGAGAAGTGATGCTAATTTTCTTGTAGGTCTTGATAGGGAAACCAATAATCAAAAAATGTAATTTTCCAAACACCCCCAAAAACTTCACTTATGGTTAAAACCCCTGTTTTGCTTACCTTTGTGCACTTAAACGCCCACCACTCACCGGATAAAGAAAGAAGAAACTTAGACATTTTGAATAATGTACACTTGTGGTCAGCTGATTAAGTTAAGTGAGTGACATTTTGACCAGTTTTGGCTACTTTTCTTTTTATTTAATGTTCATGTCAATTTATAAACTTTTATAGTGGATATGTGTGTTAGGGCGGGTCATTTTTTTCACTATGCGCATATAGCATAGGAGGATTCTACGTGTAATTCTAAGCAAATTTGCCGAAGAAATCATGGGTCTACAATCAATTTCTGACATACAAATTGACCCGTCCTAATGTATGTGCTCGCCAGCCACACACAATTTTGTTCACTTTTTTCAACGTTGGCGATGTTTTAAGCACTATTTCATAAAGCAACCATACTAGCCCTGAATTGATTCAAAGAGAACGTTTAATAAAAAATCGGGTTAAAACAGACTGAGTTATTCAACTTAAAAAATTTTATGCTAAACAACTAAAAAATGTTTGCTTAAGTGGGTTTTTTTTTATAGTTCAACTTATCAGAAAAAAATACATTTTATTTTTCTTAATGAGCTCTTCTTTTATTTAGCCATGAATGTCTGCATTGAATACCGCCGATCTGTATTGTTTAATTTTTTTCGCCACAGCCTATTTTTTAGGATATCAATCTCTTTATGCTAATAATATTATATTAAGTATGGCAAGGTCTAATATAGGAAAAACAACCCGCAGATGTTGAGTTGTGGATTTATACTAAAAGTATTGTTAAAAAATCGATCCTCACCTTTTTGCCGAATTTGTACCCAGTTGCCATATACATTTTGTTTAACGCAAAAAAAAAAACATTAACTATTCAAAAGCACAACGATTATCAAAACATTCCCGCAATTACGCACAATTGTAAATATTTATATTTGTACACACATTTAATTTCATATTAGTGGTCAATGGCTTTGACCACTTAAGTACCTCTTGTTGATAAAAATCCAAACATTATTAAAAATTCACATTCCTCTTTACTCGTCGATTTTACATCCACTCAACACACAAAATAAATATTATCGTATGTCTTTAAATGGTATATTTTAGTAGTAAACGTCGTCATAGTATTCACGCGTCCCACAGCAGCCCATAAAACGTATACGCGTATCTTCCAGGCACAATTTCGTATCCTCTTTGATCTCATTTATTTTCATGCGTACCGCCTCACGCATCAAATTGTAGCACATTGATACCAGGCCCATGCCGATAAGCATATAAAAGAAATTGATTGCTAATTTGGAATTTTGATCGGTTATTAATTGCATATTAAAAATTTCTTCAGGATCGGCAGAAGCATCTTCTTTTATTTTCACTGCTGCCGCATCAATATCAGCTGCAGTGATCAATGACGCTCCAGGTACGAAATCTCCAAACCCAATTTTACACAGGGAAGTCATGCAGAAGTAGAAGGAGTTGAGAAAGGACCATTTTTCCCAATTCGCAAACATAACGGTGCCGGTAAGGATGTAGGATATTATTACCCAAAGGCAAGCTGTTGATGGTACAATAATTTTCTTGCGTTGATATCCGCTTAAGCTACCATTTTCCAGTGCATCTAGACGAGATTCATATACTGTTCGCTCCTGCGTACATTCGTGCATGCTGCGATAGAGAAATTTGAATGAGCCCGCTAATACTTTGCCCATGTTCAGGAAGTAGAGTATATAGAGTGGTATACCGAATGTCGCGTAGATAACTGTGAATCCTTTTCCCCACGGTGTACGTGGCACCATATTACCATATCCGATCATTGTAATCACTGATAGACAGAACATCAACGCCGCAGGAAAGGACCAAATTTGCTCCGGCGTTCGACCCACATAGCCATTTTTTATCAACGTAGCAATTTCTGTTTGATATTGCCGCAATATTACGTCCGTGTTGTTTTGCCATTCAGCGCGATCAAAAGTGTTGAACTTTTCAGTGATATTCCACATTTTCTCCGCACAATTATTCCGCAACTCAGCGACATAGGCTGTCGTCTCGTCAATATATTCACGCTCTATATGCATAAAGGAGAGTGCGCCAAAGATGGCATACAGTACTATCAACGCGCCCACGCCCACTTGCGTGCACATAAATGTGACAAAGTTACGGCAACAACGTTTGACACGCTTTCGCGGTTGATTGCTGGGAGAGGAGGACGAATTTGAAGAACCGGCGCGGCTGTTACGACGCGAGTTTCGTACGGATTTTGGCATTTTGGATTTCGTATAGAATAAAATGATATCTAATATATTCTATCCACCATTATGTAATTAGCCTACCGACTCATCCGATGTCAATGTCGATTGATAGATTAATACCCTCACTCCTACGCATACATACATCTGAACGTCAATCGATATTATGCCAATTTTGATTTCTACACAGTTTAATAGTTTATCATAATTTCCACACATTTTTCCATNGGAACCGGCGCGGCTGTTACGACGCGAGTTTCGTACGGATTTTGGCATTTTGGATTTCGTATAGAATAGAGTGATATCTAATATATTCTATCCACCATTATGTAATTAGCCTACCGACTCATCCGATGTCAATGCTATTGATAGATTAATACCCTCACTCCTACGCATACATACATCTGAACGTCAATCGATATTATGCCAATTTGGATTTCTACACAGTTTAATAGTTTATCATAATTTCCACACATTTTTCCATAAATCCCAGAAATAGTCCCAAAAATAGCCTACGGCGAGACGCATTACACACTAGCGTTTACGTGAACTACACTTGAACACTTGAAAGCATTTTCAACAGCCACGATCTGTTCATTCTCGTTTACCAAAGACGACTAACGGCTCGCCTAATTAAATATATATTTTCCTATGCAGTAGCACTCAGCTACCGAAATATTCTCTCTTGTTGCATTATTTTATGTTTGTTTTAGCACTCTCGTAAATGTTTGATGTTTGTTTACATACCGATCGCTGCGAGCAGTGCTGAGGCAAAGTGGTAATATCCATTTATTAGTTCAGGGGATGCCTGTGCAGCGTTATCGCACACTGCTATAATAACACAGCTCAACAAAATTCGTAAAATTTTATGCGGCACAAGAACTAAAATGTCAATATGAACGCTTTCTTTTTATCTTATTTCAAAGGTTCTACTTCGTATTACAAAAAAAAATCAATAAATGCATACAAACCATAAAATAATTTAAATCAACANTTAAAATTTTATGCGGCACAAGAGCTAAAATGTCAATATGAACGCTTTCTTTTTATCTTTTTTTCAAAGGTTCTACTTCGTATTACAAAAAAAAAAATCAATAAATGCATACAAACCATAAAATAATTTAAATCAACATTTAATCATTCACTATTTTATGATTTTTATTTTAAGCCGAAAATAAATTCATATTATTTGCTTTTTCTTATTTCGCGTAGCGATAATTATTACTTTGTAATTTTTCCACTTAAAAAAAAAAATATATATATATAAATAAGTTAAAAGTAATTAAAAATAATAATAAAATGATCTGGATCGAAAAATAAAAATCAACCGATAGTAATTTCTTTGTAGCGAAAAAATAGAACTAAAAAATATTAATCATTATTTTTAATTTTTATTGGTTAAACTCGAAAAAAGTGATCGCAGATTACAGCAGCACGTATATGAGTATAGTTGAAATTGTTTTACCACGCTTACAACATGTTGATTTATTTGGTTAGCACCACAAGTTGTTGTATACTGTCGTATTGCTATATGTGTTCATACATCCATATATGTATGTATATACAGTGACTCCCAGAAGTATCTTGCATTGATTTATTTACGATATTCAAACTATTTTTCAAGGTAAATTTTTCGTTGATTTTTTATAGCCAACAACAAAAGCCATGTAAATCAAATTATCAAAATTTCGAAGAAATTAAGGATAATTCACAAAAATTTCAAATTTTTAATCAGATTTTCCAAAATATTTCGAGTATGCAGTTAAATATTCTAGCCAATTTTAGTATAACAAAGTGTAAACTTTGAAGTTGCATTTTCTTCCATATAACGATTTTTTTTGTATGGAAGAAAACGCCCAACACCACCAGCAAAAAAAAAAACATATCAAAAATCAACGGCATTTTTTTAGCAACTATTTGTGAGAGTATTAATGATTTTCAGTGCTTTTAAAGTTTCTGAGGCGTTGCTTACTTTTACTTGAGAATTGTTTGGTATTACCGAAAATTTTGTGGAAAATACCTAAAAAACTCCCTGAAAATTTTAACACCAAATCGCTAATATCCACATTTCTTGAGATATTGGACTTTGAAGTTGATCAACAATTTCTACAATTTAGCTTAATAGTCCATGAAAATTCCACACTACCACAACTTTAAAGCCCAATATCTCAAGAAATATCGATGTTAGTGATTTAGTGTTCCGAAAAAAACGAGAATTTCATGAAAAAGTTGGGTTGTGACCCGCACTACCTCGCTGGTGGGAGTTACGATTACACCTCACTGAACGCTTTTGTAGAGCATTCAATTCTGAAGAAAACCCATCTTTGACCAAGATTATACAATAAAATGCCTCTGAGCTGTAGGCTTTTGAAGAAAAAAACTCGAAAGTTTACGTGTATTTTATATGGGAGTCGTACTTAGTGTTAATATTAAGGGTTCAAATTTTCAGGGAGTTTTTTTACGGTGTTTTCCACAAAATTTCGAGGTAGGAGAGAAAAAAACAATAGCCGCAAAAAAAAAGCACCCTAATATAGATGCTTCGGAGGAAATTCCGATTTAATAAATACGCTAAAGGAATTTTTATAATTTAGGTGTTAGGGTTTAAGAAAGCTTTACTTCATAAATATTTTAGAATAAGGTTGCCATCTGTTTACATAACGTATAATATCGCACCCTAAATCAAAAACCGTCACAACTCGAATTTTTTCAAAATTTATTTATTTCCATAAAACAGTTCACAAACCATATATCTAACGTCCACCAAAATTTCTTCTGCATCACAATTGCCTTTAACTGGCAAAATACTATTAAAACTGTGTTTGTTTTGCTTGCGCCGCACAGTGTTTCGACTATATGTATGAAGGCAGGTGGAAAAGTCATGGCGACCATTGATAAAAAAAAAAAAACAGTTGGGCTTATAGAGGGAAAAGTAAAAGTCATAAATACAAAATTTGAGATCATTTACTCACTCCCCCTTCCCTCGAATGGAACGTTTCCAAAAAATTACTGGAATCGGTGCGACACAGACTAATGTTTCGGTTAGAACAGCATAAATTCCCCAAAGAAAGGGGATTGTTGCTGGAGGGACAGTCCTGGGCCAGATATAAATCTGGGTCGTTCCGGTTACGTAGACTCGACTATCGTCGGAGTGACACCGACAAATTACTTTAGTTGCCTTTGGCGCTGAACCCATTAAAGAGAGTGTTTCTTTTTCAAATGTAGTCAATTCTTAAGTGTCGTGTAATACTATAGTGATGGTATTTATCATTTATTTGGCATTTTCCTATTCGTATTTTCTTATAAAAAAAATTTACTTTGAAATGAAAGATTATTATAAACAAGTAAAAAAGTCTAAGTTCGGGCGGAGCCGAACATTAAATACCCGGCGCAAGTATTAAATATATGTATGTTTTTCGCCTTTCCGAAAACTACCGCTACATGGTAAACAGGGGTGTTTTTACCCCTATTTTAAACATCTTCGATGGAACGTTCAGTTAATAAGATAAACTTATGTAACCATATGTGGGCAGCATCACGCCCATTTTCTAAAATTACAAATAATGTTACTTCTTTTCAGGGGATTGTTGTTAGTAAAGATGTTTCGAATGTCATATTTTTCACATTCGCGAATAGTACAGTTATTTACGGCATCACTAAAAAAGGAAATGCCTTGCCATGTGAGAGAGAAACAGAAAGTGAACGCTCGACAACCCACAACAAAATATTTGGCGCGGGAGGGAGATGAGAGAATGAGATTGCGAAAATGTACGTGCATTAGAAATGTTCCATAATGCAAAAATTTACCTTGCATATTTTTGCCGTGTATTCTAACTAAGCATCAAGTAGTGTTCACTGTAAATCGGTACACGTTCCAGCTATTCCTGTACAGCAATTGTTGAAATGTACATATTAAAAAATTTCAATGCAGGTCGTTAGACAATAGATGTTATGAGGTTTAAATTTCGTAGTACCGGCTTCTAATCTGACAGTTTTATTCCGACATCAAAAATCAAATTAAAATTAAAGATATCAAAAACTTCTAATTTTTCTCCAAATATTAATGGATTTTCTTTTTGCTCAAATTAACGGAGTAAGCTAATCATTAAAAAACTTGATGTGAATAAAGTTCTGGACGTCATCAATTTGAGTCCTATTTATGTCAAATCGAAAAATATACGGTATTTATTTGAAAAAAAATTAGTAGATGTGCGAATTGTGAAAAAACATAAACTAAAGATAGTTTAGTAGAGCAAGTTGCTTACTGAAGTCTCTAGAATGGCTGTTCAGAAAAATTGTATCACTATCAAAGAAATTGTCTGCTATTTATTTATCCAAGCAAAATATGAAACTTTCGTTACCGTATACCTAAATAAAAATGATAAATAAAATTTTTTTATAATTTGTAAATTTTTTTATTTTTTATCAAGAATTGGAATTTTAGCACAGAAATCAAAAATTGAAATTGAAATTTTATTTATTAAAAAATTTGTTTCTTTCATTTAAATACTGCAGTGCCGGCATTTGAACATGGGACACACGGAATTATAGTCGACATCTCTACCTACTCGGCTACGGCAGTCAAAACCCTGCAGGAAATGTATCTAACTATAAGCTAACATTAAGTTGATTAGAAAGGAGCTAAAAGTCACTTATTATCTGTATATTTTCTTTGACGAAAGCTAACTATATTTCTATGGCGATGGCCGCGAAATAGTCAAGGGTGGTTTACTTCTGCATTTGATGTAACTAACTTGTGACTAACTACTTTTGGA